AACTTTGGTGAAATAATGGTTTCCATTAGCTCTGTTTTTTCTTTTTAGAATCCTAATGACTTTATTTGGCCTGCTAACAGAGAATAGGGTGGGGATTTATTTACAGAAGACTGGGGAAGAATTAGAGATATTGGATAAGTAATAATACTAATAGCATTTTCTTTCAAATTATTCCTTCAATAATCAATTTGTAACATCACTGAATACCTTAAGTTGTCTACAGATCATTAATATATAGCAAATTTGGCTTTAATGTAGTTTGATGAGTACAGTTTATAATGTATTATCAGAATTTTTATGGTAGAAATATCAGTGGACCCTGACATTTACAAATGGTTCAAATTAAATTAATGTATTGAAGAACCAAGTAAATAAACATTCTAGAAATGTGAATAAAATTATTTCAAGGTTTTCTGTACTTTAACTATTTCTAGCCATGTTTTAATCTTAAATATGTGTCTATACATTAGGAAAATATTATCAAGTAAATTACAATAAATCTGTGTAGAAAACTTTACCCCCCCAAGTACAATGTCCTCTTATATCTGTACTTCTCAATACTTAATTAAAAATAATTTAAAACTGTAGTCAAGAAAAAAACAGACAGAGATCAATGAAACTGTGTACAGAGCTCCCAAATAAATCCACACTTACACTAACGCTCAATAAAATTGCAAAGAATGCACAAAGAAGAAAGAATAGTTTCTTTGATAAATGGTACTGGGAAAACTATATTCAGATGCAAAAGGATAAAATTAGAGTGTTATTATATCATATCAAAAAAATTAAAGTCTTAAATACAAGATTTGAAAGTATGAAACTTCTAGAAGAAAACATTTGGAAAAACTCTTTGACATTGATTTTGGTGGTGGCTTCTTGTGGTGTGATACCAAATGCTCAGGCAACAAAAACAAAAACTCACAAGTGAAACTACAGAGCTGAGTAAATTGAAACCCTCCAAATCACTTTCCGGTCTGTGGAATGAAGGAGAAAGCATCTATTTCATGGAAGTGGCCTTTGAATTGTATACAAAATAAAAGCGTAATGCCTGGCTCACTGTATGTGCTCAATGACTCTGTTATAATTGCTATAGTCACTTTTATAATTCTCACTGTGGATCCCATTTCATCATCTCATGGGTGAATAATAGCAATGCTTATAAATGATCTTCTTATTCACAGTCCTATTCCCTGAACTCATCCTTTGAATTGTAGCCATCATCCGTCCTCCCAGCCCCAACAATATAAACTCTGTAAGGACAGTGACCTTGTGCATTCTTAGCTTTGTACTCTCTGTCTGGCACAGAGCTTAGCAGATAGTAAGTACTTAATAAATACTTGTTCAATGAACGAATAAAAAACATTCCATTACTGTACAAGCACCTACCATCTCTACAATTTATTTCATTCTATAAAATTGAAGCTTTTCTATAATAGTTTTTTATGACTGCAGCATCTCTACCTTTTTATCTTCTTCCATATATCAGAAAACAATAATTTGTAACATATTTTTCAGACTTTCTCTGTAGCACATTTCCTTGTCACGGCCTGACAATGTGATTTGGAAGGTGGAGGAGAGGAGAAAGGAATAGCTGAACCCAAACATTCTCTCAGCCAGAACTTCTTAAATCTGTAGCTAAGAAACTAGTCACAGGCTGGCGCTGGTCTCACGAGCTCCGTTATTGCATTCTGTGGCGACTGAGCTCTAAAAGCCAGACCTCTAACCCTCCAGGGAGGTGGGAAGTCCTTCCAGCTAGACCTGCCCTGGTGTAGCATTTGCATAGCTCATTTGCCCCATTTGCATAGCTGGTCACCTTGTCTCAGAGCCCATGGAAATGTGGGAGAGAGAACATCAATTTCAAATCAATCTGTAGGATTCTAACATAAGTTCTAGTAGTTCTTCTGAGTTATGCAATCTCTTTTCAATTATTTTGAAACTCAGAAACACCCTATTGATTACCTTGCATGATATTTCCCTTGAAAAATTTTTATTTAAAAAGGAATTCCACAAAGTTGGAATTCTGTTTTTAACATTTAAATAATTTATTAGTCCATTTATTTGATAAACACGAACAGGTTGGGGAGAAAAGACCATGAGGAAAAAAAATGTCTATCAACTCTTCTTCAAAGTACAAGCTTATTAAGGCCTATAGAGTCAGGTTGGTGTCTCCGAATGCCTTTGCTCTGGTTTCATCTACTGATATTTCTATAGAACAGAAAAAAGAGACATCTCATTTCATAGTAATTATTCAATCCAAATCACTTATGATTTTTATTCCTTTTAACAAATAAAACAGGGACGCTCAATACATGTCAATCACTGTTCTCCATTTTGGGTACAGGGCTGCAAAGCAGAATCACTCAAAAATAATGTGACATCTTATAATGGCCTTTGATTTCAACCCAAAACACTATGACATTTCAATGGGACATGGGCTGACTCACAATAAACACAGAAGAATACAAACAAATAAAATGCCCAAGACAACTGCTATGTCCACAGCCAGAGACACCAGGGATGCTCTCCTTTAGCACGTTCAGGCCAGGTACAGCTCCTGGGGAATAAAAGAAGTTAGAAATCTCTGCTTTCCACTCAGAAGTGACCCCTGAAGGCCAACATGTGTCTTATACATGAGGTCATGGATGAGGATCTATTTCTGACTTTGGGAAGGAATCCAGGGAAACCTTCACCCCAGTTAAGTCACAGCCTACCAGGGGGAGAAGTTACCTAATGCTATCTCATTTCCTGTGTGAATTTAGGTTTAGACTCAACTTTTTTCTATTATGTTCAACATTTCTTCATGTGAGGAATCAAACATTACTGAGGTGACTGAATATGAACTTCTTTCAGGGCTTAGTGATTGTGGTATTCTTCATACTAGGTGAGTAACAAGAATATCAAATATCCACCTTCTTCTTTGGGAGAAGTGAACATACAATTTTCACATTCCTATGTGATATCAGAAGTCTTGACATGTAAGTATGTTTAAGAACTATGTCTTTTGTGTAGTGTAACATACAGTTTTTCCCCCTTCTAGGAAAGACACACGGAGATACAGTGACTCAGACGGAAGGTAAAGTGACCCTCTCAGAAGAAGACTTCCTGACTATAAACTGCACTTACTCAGCCTCGGGGTACCCTGCTCTGTTCTGGTACGTCCAGTATCCTGGAGAAGGTCCACAGCTCCTCTTCAGAGCCTCAAAGGCCAATGAGAAGGGAACCAAGAAAGGGTTTGAAGCCACATATGTCAAAGACGCCTCCTCCTTCCACCTGCACAAAGCCTCAGTCCAAGAGTCAGACTCGGCTGTGTACTACTGTGCTCTGAGTGACACAGTGGCAGAAACCTCAGGAAGACCTGAGCACAAACTCAGCAGCAGGCGCCCATCTGCTGAGCACCTGCCTCTGAGATGGGCCTGATTTAGGTCTGTGCTGTGTGCCCTTCTGTTTCTCTGGTTGGTGCCGAATTACTGGACAATAACATTCAGCTCTTCATTAGAACAAAACAAAGTCTGACACAAAAAGTGCCCCATACAGATTCAAAGTGAATTCTCAGCAAAGCCATGTAAAGATGAACTCATCTCTGTTCATGACAGGTGACAAAGTCCGTGCTCTGCATTTTGTTGCACATATTCTGTATCTTATATTTGTAGAGTGAAATGTTCCAGGTGAAGTGGTTTCTGCATAATGTCTCCCCACAGAATATTGAGGGAGAGATGACAGGAGAGCTAAATCCCCAAACCTCATGATTCCTAATAGAAAAAAGGAAGAAAGAAGGAGAAACAGAGGCCCACCTAACATAAGGCATAGGAAGGAAAGGGATTTACTTATGCACAGAAACTGTTTCTTCTTGGGTAAATCAGATAGCAGACCCACGCTGATGCTCAGGAGAAAAATCAGGAGCAAAGGCATAACTGAACAGCTCAGAGCCAAGTGATGAGTATCCTGGGTAGTTCCACAGATCAGCTGACTTTCTAACATGGCCTCATGTAGGGGGTTTGCAGTGCCTGGGAGAGGATAGACATACATTTTATCCTCTATCTTATATAGCATATACAGCACAAACAGAAGGTACCTATCCTTGCCTGAGGTGCTCCACTGTCTTCCCATTCCATCTAGAATAAAATGGAAGGCTCAGGCTGTGATATACAAGATTCCACATGATTTGCATCTGACATGACAGTCAACCTCAGATCTTGGCTTGAAAGGATCTGAGATGGGCCTGATTTAGGTCTGTGCTGTGTGCCTTTCTGTTTCTCTGTTTCCCAGCTCTCAGTGCAGCTGCAATGTTGTCCTCCTTTCAGCTTTGTGGGGCTTAGATTTGTCAGCCTGTGGTATCTAGTGGGGACACTGATATCTGCTCTTAAGCTCTTTATACGTTTAAATTTTAGGAATTCTCTACAGTACTAGGTAACCATAGGACCTTTTCAAATGGTGTTCAGTGACATTTATCTTCCCTGTCTTAGCTCCTCTATCCTGCCTGTCCTCCCCAAAACCTTTTTGACTTGTTCTAGTCCATTATGCACCCTTATGCCTTCTATCTTCCCTCCCTTAAAAACTACCTTCACAGCCCCTTGCTAATTTCTTGACCTCTCATACTGAGATTACCCAGAGCAGAAAGGTAAGCATAGTGTGTTTCCCTCTGTTTATGGATGGTAATCTACCAGACCTTTAAAGAATTATACCAATTCTTCCCAAATACTTTCAAATCCTAGAAATAGAAAGAACACTTAACACTTCCTTCTACAAAGGCAGTGTTACTCTAATATCCACTAAGTAATTAAACAACAAAAAGAACTATAACCAATATCCCTAGTGAATATAGGTGTAAAAATTCCCAACAAAGTATTAGAAAAGTGAATATAGGCATACACAAAATATATCATCTACCATGATCAAGTTGACTTTATTCCAGAAATGCAGTGATGGTTCAACACATATAAATCTTTAAAAGCAATAAATCATGTAAATGATCTATAAATGATCAAAATGACCAAAAAAAAAATCACATGATCATCTCAATAGATTCAGAAAAGGCCTGTGACAAAATACAACATCCCTTCATAATAAAAGTCCTAGACGGAACAGGGATGGAGAGGACATACCTCCACATTATAAAGGCTATATATGAAAAACCATAGCCCAAATCATCCCAAATGGTGAAAAACTTGAAGTAGCCCCATTATAATCAGGAACAAGACAGGGGTCTCTGCTGTCTCCACTTCTGTTCAATATGGTACTCCAAATCTAGCTAGAGCAATAAAACAAATGAAGTAAAAGGGTTACAAAAGGAAAAGAATAAGTCAAATTATGCTTATGTGCAGATGATTGATGCCACAGACATAAGAGGTCCGTAAGACGCTACCAGGAAACTCCTTGGACTGATTAACACTTTCAGCAAAGAGGCAGGACACAAAATTAACGTGCAAAATTAGTAGCCTTTCTATATACCAGCAACAGTTTGAAAAGAATTGAAAGAAACAATACTATTCACAAGTGCTTCAGAACAAAGCAAAACAAAACAAAACAGCTTTGTGGTTGACTTTAAGGTCCTCATCACACTAGAGATCTCATATTTGTTACTATTAACATGGCCCACAGCCCATGTAAAAATGTCCAACAGACCATGTCATTGAAAGTCATACAGCCTAAGGAAGAAACCACTACTGCTATTTTGCTAAGTGGGCATGGCATCAAACTGCTTTCTAAATACTTCTCTTTATGCACATCGATTAGTGCAGCTCTCATTCCTCATCAGAGAAGCTTCTTATTGTAGAGACAAAGAGACTCACAACTAGTCAAAGGGCAGAGAGTTAAGTGACCACAGAGTGCTCATCCCTAAATGGGATATCTACATCACCCTCTCCGCCATCCCCCGCTCAAGGCTCAGGGAACATGGGCATAGAGGGGACAGATGTTTGTAAGAGCCAAAGGTCAGGGAAGACTGCTACAAAATGGTGTCCTTCTGTTATGGCAGGGCCATTATGAACTTACAGCAGTGGGGACTGCCTACACGTGATCAAGCTAATCAGCGTTCTAGGATGGGTGTGGGAAGTGCTCACCTGTCCCCATCCAGAGCTGAGAGCCATTAGCAGTTGATGGCAGCTTGGGGAGAGAAAGGTTCTTCAGGGGTAGGACCCAGATGGCTTACACCGGTGTGCATGAAGGCAGCTCCTACTGGACTCTGATGGTTATAAAGAAAATAAAAGAAAAAGATGCCAAGTTAAGAAGGCATCCTGGAGAAGGGGAATCTGTGGGAAGTTGGAGGAGGGGAAGGGGTGGATATGATCAAAATACATTATTTACATTATGAAGTTCTCAATGAATATTTAAAATAAAACTTAAAAGAAAAAACCAAATGCTCAAAAATCAGGGAAAATGTGCCAAGTATGATTCTATATCGTGTAAAATTATTGTTCAAAAATAAATGAGAAATGAAGAAATTTCGAGATACACCAGATCTGAGATCTCTATCACCTACAGTTCTTCCCTTCTACAGAGGCTGGAATGGAATAGCACTGTGATGGCTCATGTTAATAGTCAATTTGACAGAATCTAGACGCACCTGGGAGTGAGTCCATGAGCAGGCTGTACTTCGGGCCAGCATATTATTGTCAGGATTTCCTGAGGTGACTAAAGATGAACTTTCAGGGCTTAGTGACTGTGGTGTTCTTCATACTAGGTGAGTAGCAAGAATATAAAATATCCACCTTCTTCTCTGGGAGAAGTAAACGTACAATTTTCACATTCTTATGTGATATCAGAAGTCTTGACATGTAAGTATGTTTAGGAACTATGTCTTTGGTGTAGTGTAACATACAGTTTTTCCCCCTTCTAGGAAAGACACATGGATATACAGTGACACAGACAGAAGGTAAAGTGACCCTCTCAGAAGAAGACTTCCTGACTATAAACTGTACTTACTCAGCCTCGGGGTACCCTGCTCTGTTCTGGTACGTCCAGTATCCCGGAGAAGGTCCATAGCTCCTCTTCAGAGCCTCAAAGGCCAATGAGAAGGGAACCAAGAAAGTGTTTGAAGCCACATATGTCAAAGACGCCCTCCTTCCACCTGCACAAAGCCTCAGTCCAAGAGTCAGACTCGGCTGTGTACTACTGTGCTCTGAGTGACACAGTGGCAGAAACCTCAGGAAGTGCTGAGCACCAACTCAGCAGCAGGCACCCGTCTGCTGAGCACCTGCCTCTGAGATGGGCCTGATTTAGGTCTGTGCTGCATGCCCTTCTGTTTCTCTGGTTGGTGCTGAATTAGTAGACACTAACACTCAGCTCTTCATTAGAACAAAACAAAGTCCGGCACAAAAAGTGCCCCATACAGATTCAAAGTGAATTCTCAGCAAAGCCATGTAAAGATGAACTCATCTCTCTGTTCACAACAGGAGACAAAGTCCGTGCTCTGCATTTTGTTGCACATATTCTGGTAGACATTATTGTATCTTATATTTGTAGAGTGAAATGTTCCAGGTGAAGTGGTTTCTGCATAATGTCTCCCCACAGAATATTGAGGGAGAGATGACAGGAGAGCTATATCCCCAAACTTCATGATTCCTAATAGAAAAAAAGGAAGAAAGAAGGAGAAACAGAGGCCCACCTAACATAAGGCATAGGAAGGAAAGGGATTTACTTATGCACAGAAACTCTTTCTTCTTGGGTAAATCAGAGAGCAGACCCAGGCTGATGCTCAGGAGAAAAAGCAGGAGCAAAGGCATAACTGAACAGCTCAGAGCCAAGTGATGAGTCAATTTGACAGAATCTAGACTCACCTGGGAGTGAGTCCATGTGTAGGCTGTACTCCTGGCCAGCATATTATTGTCAGGATTTCAGTTAGTTGCCAAATACTTTCCAAGGCCATGGTGGCTGTCATCTAGTTCTGTCACTAGGCCCCCTTTAGTTGTCACGTGTACTGAGAAATGGCTATAGTATATTTGTCAGATACAATGTGCTATTGAAGACAGTGGCTTCACTGTTAGTCTCTTTCCCCCCATTTTATTCCTTGTGCAGTTGTTGGCTGGAGAGGGAAGAGTCTGAGCAGGACATACTTGGTGAATGCTGATTTCATGGCTGCTGAGTAGTGAAGAGTCTGATGTATACTGCATGTCTGGCCTCCGGCCACCGGCTCCTGCAAAGATGTGAAGCAGGTGGTAGGACAAAGGAGGAACGCAATTTCTCTGCTTATTTCTCTACAAATCCTATGAAGTTCCTGGCACAGATGCCCCTCTGATAATATGCTGGTTAGGTTAAGAGGGAGACATGGAGAAAGAGAAGAGGGGCCAGAATCTGTAGATCCATAACTTTCAGAGATTGGGGATTTTCAATGGAAGGAAAAGAACAATAGAATTTTCACAAATTAACAAGTATCTAAAGGTGCTATTTACAGTCTAAGTGCTGAGACCAGGGCCATTTCTACTACACCACTGTAAGTCTCACTTTGACACATGAGGCACTCGTACAACATGGAACGGAGAGTTCCAAGTTCTTCTAGTGTCACCTTGCTAAAGAAATGTTGGCCAACCCAAAGCTACATTGATGTTCCAGCTTACCCCAGTAAGAATGGTTATTATCATGAATACAAAATCAACAAAATCCATCCAGGATGTGAGGAAAAATGAAAACTTACATATAGCAGTAAATGGGAAATATCATTTAATGCAGCCGCTGTGGAAATTAGTGTGAAAGTTCTTAAAGAAATACTCTAAAAATATACCTTACATATAGCCCATCTTTACCACTCCTCAATATATACCTGAAGGAAGCAGTCAGCCTACAACAGAGATCTACACATTCATGATTGTCATGGCACGGTCCAGGAAAACAGCTCAGCCACTAAGGTGCCTGCCACACAAGCATGACGGCAGATGTCCAGGATGCATGTGAAATCTGGCACTGCCACTGGGTACATCCGCAAGCCCAGCACTGGTGAGGCAAAAGACAGGTCGATCCCTGGAGTTTATTGACCAGCCAGCCTAGGTCAATAGATAAACTCTTGTTTAAGTGAGAGACCCTGTCTCAAGAAAAGTTGCAGAACAATCAGAGAAGACACCTGATGTCTGGCCTACACACACCTGCATACACAGGTGCACACACTGACACAAACATGTACAAACACCAAACACACATATACACATAAATCATAAACAATACATAAATACATATATGAATAAATAAATATGTAGTCAGATTGTGAGCTGGAGCCATGTAAGTTAATATTATATTTTAAGTTGTTAGATTTTGAACAGGTCTTTTTAAATTGTAGGAAGTGTATTTAAAGATTGAAGAGTTGTTAGATTTTGAACAGGTCTTTTTAAATTGTAGGAAGTGTATTTAAAAATTGAAGATATTAGAGGGGTGAGTGATCTGACATGGAAAACAGCTATGCAGCATCAAAGATTATTTGAATAGCAAGGGCTTATCCAGATCTCCATAGTAGAAATGGTAAGAGTGATTTTTCAGTACAGAAAGGGGGCTGTTTAAATAACTGTTTTACTTGGAAAATAAGTCTGCATTTGATGAAAAAGTAGATATATGAGTACACACAGACACATATAAACTGGAGCAGATGTTTTAATAGTTTACTTAAGAGACTGTCCTTTGAATGTATCTTTGACACTATAGTGATTCCACATGATGGCAGTATCTTCTTAGAGATGCTGAGGAAAATGCTCACATGTTACCGTAAGGAGAGGGAGGGTGTTGAGAGGAGGGAAGGACTTGCTGATGATGTAGCAAGGGCAAAGAGAACTCTTTTTCTAATTGGTTGAACACAGCTTTTATTTATGTTTCTTAAAACGGAAGAATTGGAAGTGTCTAAATGCCACTCCATTTTTAGGTTTGAAATCTGAATCTTCAGTGAAAAGAATCATGCTGCCTTTGAGTGTTTCACTGATGATCCTGTGGCTGCAGTTGAGAAGTGAGTCTGAGCATTTCTGTGGGAACATAAAATCCAATATGTGAAGGTGTTGCCTAGTCTAGCCTGGTGGGTAGAAACAATGTTTTTACACTGTAACTAAGGTAGGGGGAGGCCCAAGAAAACATACATTCTGCAGTGTCAGAATCCCTATCCAACCAGTCCTCTTTGACCTTTGTCTTTCTGCACAGAGGTGAGCAGCCAGCAGAAGGTGGAACAGCATCCTGAATCCCTAGGGGTTCCGGAGGGAGCCATGGTCTCTCTCAATTGCACTTTCAGTGACAGCAGTTTGCAGTACTTCTTTTGGTACAAACAGCATTCTGGGGAACGCCCTGAGTTTCTGATGTCCATATTCTCCAATGGTGACAAAGAAGAAGGAAGATTCAGAGCTCATCTCGATAAAGTCAGCCGACACCTTTCCCTGCACATCAGAGGCTCCCAGCCCAGTGACTCTGCTGTCTACCTCTGTGCAGTGAGCACACAGTGCTGCCCAGGCACCTGCAGCCTGCACCCAAACCTAGCCAGTCCCAGCAAGACTTGAAAAAGAACACACAGGCCACAGGGTGGAGAAATTCTGCTTGTGCTGCAGATGCAAAGGGAATTTAGAGCTATAAAAGGGAGGGCTTGAATCATTGAGCTGAGAGCTTGATTCGTTGGGAAAGAGTTCTAATATTCTGAAAATAACTAATTCTGAAGGAAGAGGCACAATATTAGATTGACTGCAATATCTTTCCAATTGAGGTCTGTACAAAATGTGCACATACTTAATATACACATCGTGGTGAGTTTGAAGACAAGACTATATCCATGGAACTCACCTCCTGCAATGCCAAAAACACAGCCATCACCTCCACAACTCTCCTACAACCTTTTTTATTTTTTCTTTATAGGTAGATCTTGTTGTACAGCCCAAACAGGCCTGAGACTCAGAATCCTTCTGCCTCAGCCTCCCAGGTGATGAGATTACAGGCTTGTGTTCCCTAAAATGGTATTTTTTTAATTGAGGTATTGAAAAGGTGCACTTGTGTGTTACATACATCTTGATACTCATTCTGGTTTTATACAAGTTTACTCAGAAGGACTGATTTTACTGTAGTTTTTTATATATAAAAGGAAATTTCTCCATCTGACAGATATTCTCTCACAGTAATTAATACAGCTTTCCATACAGTGCCTGAAGATAACTGATGATCATGAGGGATGTGGTGGCAACTGCAAAGGGAAAAAAGGAGTTCAGAGAGAACTTACCAGTTACAAATTTCTTCCATTGGGGCTGGAGTGATGGCTCAGCAGTTAAGAGTACTGACTTGCAGAGGACCCAGATTCAAATCCCAGCACCGACATGGCAACTAACAACCATCCATAACTCTAGTTCCATGAGCTCTGACACCCTCTTCTGACCTCCATGGGCATTACATGACACAGGTGCACTTATATACATGCAGGCAATAAACTCATACATATAAAATAACAAAAACTAATAAAACCAAATTGCTTTCATTCTAGATTATCCACATCATCTATCTCAGGTGAAACCACACTCCTGGATTAGAGGAGGACACATCTGATGTATACAAGGAAGGACAAGACTCAGAGCATGAAAACTTGCTAAAACAAAAAAGTTCAGACAATTGCAGAGATGTTGTCTTTCTATAGTAAAGACTGTAAGTCAGAATTGCTGACCCCATGCCTGTGCACTACAGCATTAGCCAGAGCCACAGAAACTCCCTCACCTCTGCAGGCATGGTATTGGAGAGTGACTTAATTTATTGAAAAGATGGGCATGTGAGCACACCCAGGAATGGGCAGCTTCTTACTAGGGTGAGAGCTCCATTACCAATCTCCTTCCCTGCACATAAGGCCAGGTGAGGATGGCTTATCTCTGTAAACTACTCACTGAAACCTTTGGCCTTCACGAGTGGCTCATTATAAGTCTGTGAGGACTCAACACCTGAGTGAAGGCTAGCCCGCTGGCCTTCTCATACAGAAGCACAGCAGCAGGAAGGAGACACAGAGGGAGGCTGGGAAGTGACCTTAGATGGTCCCTGTGCTCACCCCACCCTCCATCACGCCTCTCCCCTGAGGTCCCTGGACAGATTTCTCTTCCCTTTCCACTGCCGTCCTCTCTTGGTTCTGGTTGAGCTTTCACTCTCCATTTCACCCATCAAATAAGCTCACCTCTGTGTCCCATCTTATCCACATGGATCTTTCTTTAAGATTATTTTTCCCTCATGGGTTTAAATTTATCCTCTACAGTTTTACTTCAGTATGAATTAGGTGCTTAGTCAGAAACTTTTATTGTTTAAACACAATCTAGTAATATTTAAAATTTAAAACTGTCAGCCAGGTGTAGTTTTGATTTTTTTATTTCCAATTTAGATGTTTTTCATTTTCCAAAAGTGGTGAGAGCTGGGTGTGGTGGTGCACACCTTTAGTCTCAGCAGTCAGGAGACAGAGGCAGGTGAATCTCTGAGTTTGTAATAGTAATAATAATAATAATTTAAACTGTCTATATGTTTTGGTTGTTCATAGAAAGAGAATCTACTGAGGCACTGAACACAGAGATCAGAATCCCAAGGCCGGTGTGTAGGTGGAATGAGCTGTTCTGACCTCATGGAAAGGATCACTCCCGGCCAGCTCCTCCTCACACCTGAGATGCTTTCCTTAGGTTTCAGTGATCTCTGTGCTAAACTAAGTTGTGTGGGAAAGAGTTTCATTTTATTCTGCCATAAAGCACTCTGTCTTCATTTGCTTGGCCCCAACTTCCTTCCACATGAGATGGATGCGTGTTTAACAGTGTTAACTGTCTCTGTGAGTCCCTCCCATGTGTTCTGTACCTGCCATAATTCCTTACGTTCGTGCTCTGTACCTTCTACTGCTCTATGGAGTTCATGCACATTCATCACACTCCTTTCTCCTTAATTATTTCCAGAGCCATTTTTTATGACATATTCTCTTGCCATTGTCAGCCTGCTTAAGATTCCCATTGATAGGCCTTCTTTTATATTTCTTTAAATATAAGATAAATATATTTATTCTTTTAAATTTCTTTAAATCCAATTCTGTGATGCCTCAGAATTGGAATAATATGTCAGTGTGTTCTGGTCACTGACCAGTGGCACAGGACTATCACTTTCCCTTAGTTATTTATATGCATATTATTTTTTAAGATTTGTTTTTTCTTCTCTCTGTCTCTTTCTCTGTCTCTCTGTCTCTCTTTCTCTCTGTATCTCTCCCTTTCTCTCTGTCTATGTATCTCTCTGTCTCTCTGTCTCTCTGTCTCTGTCTCTCTCTCTCTGAGTGTGTGTATGTGTGTGTGTGTGTGTGTGTGTGTATGTTTACATGGTGTCTATGGAGGCCAGAAGAGGGCATCAGATAGCATGATCCCATGCAACTTCTGATGGTGCGGATTCCACAGCTATGCTTGAAAGATAACACGCTGGAAGCCTCACACCACCTTGACATGAACCTACACTTGTGTACAAATAGAGATAACAAGTAACTTTATTCTGTGTGGCTTTGTGATGTGATATTGTCATCTACAAAGTTCATGCTTGAGAAACCACATAATCAAGTTATGAAAACACTGTAAAAAAAAAACACTGTCATAATGTGTTAGTCAATTCACGATTTAGTGTTGGGCTGCATCCATAGCTATCCTGGGCTACACCTGGTACACAAGCCCCAAGGTTGGACACCACTGGCTTTGATTCTCGGTGCATTATAGACTCAACTTCAAATGAATAATCACTTTTAGCATTTGCATAATATCTCATGTGATTCTGACTTACTTTAAATTAAATTAGACAAAATATCTAGATTTTTAATCATCTAAGAATTATATGACACCAGGGAACAGGTTGAATGTAAATTTTAGTAAGGTACTGAAAATCTAAAAGGCACTAATTGCAATTTGTTTTTAAAACAGTCTAGTGGGGGCTGGAGAGATTGTTCAGAGGTTAAGAGCATTGACTGTTCTTGCAGAGGACCTGGGTTTGATTCCCAACACTTACATGGTGGGCTTTCAATCATTCCAGCTCCATTTCCAGAGGATCCAATGCCCTTTTGACATCCATAGATATTGCACGAGTCAGGTGCACTCACATACATGCCAGTAGTACACACATATACATAAAATAAAAATAACAAAATATTTTTAAGAATAGTCGAGTGATTTCTACATGAAAGAATTTCGGGACAGTTAACCCACAAATGATATTAAATAAGAGATTGAAGAGAAAGCTCGGTTAGAGCACTGGCTGCTCTTGCTAAGAACCATCACTAATTCCAGTTCCCAGGGACCCAACACTCTCTTCTGACCCCAATACATGCAAGAAATACACTCATACACATAAAATAAAAATAAATCAATAAAATAATAATAATAATAATATAAAAGATGTGATACCCATTTCTTAGATTTCTAGTGTGAAAAATGCAAACATTCCACAAATTTGTTTGCTGCACAAGAAGCACAGCCAATTGTGTGTATGTGTGTGTGTGTGTGTGTGTGTGTGTGTGTGTGTATACATATAATGACTGGGATATAATTCTAACACTATGTGCTCTTTTACCATAGTGGGAAATGTGCCTAGAGTCCTGTTAACACAGCAGAAGGATGTGGTGGGTCTTCAAGGAGAACCAGAAAGAGGTGGACAGAGGAGGAAGATGAATGCACTCAGAGGACGTCCCTGTACACGTCCTATTTCTCTGCTAAACAAAGTTTGTCTAACACGGGGAGGAAATCGCTCCTCATTCTGTTTGAGAATTTGAAGGTTACCTACAGCCTGGGGTCGCCTGCAGTATCACCTTGGGCCACTAGATGGAGATGCTGTGCATCTTGAGCCTGGCAGGAAACCACAAAGCAGCCAGATCCTCTAAGAGCTTTTGGTTGTACCCACTAGTTAAACTTACCCACGGAACTGTCAGAGTTTGGGGGCTGAATTTCTTCCAGAGAAGACTTTCCTGCATCCCACGGGCTCAGACATGACACCTCACATGGCTGTGATGCTTGTGATTGCAGTCACATTCAGTAAGACAGTTTTTTTTTTTTGTCTTTCTGCAGGCCCTGATATAGAATCTGTTTAACGAACTGTTCTCCGTCAGAATGCTTTTGCCTGATCTGGAATTGTTTTGCAGGAAGCGCAAGCTCCCAGACAGTAACCCAGCCTGAGGACTACATTTCTGTCTTTGAAGGGGCCCCGGTGCAGGTAAAGTGCAGCTACTCCTATTCTGGGAGTCCTGTGCTCTTCTGGTACGTCCAGTACCCCAGACAAGGCCTACAGCTTCTCCTGAAACACATTTCAACAGACAGTGCCAAAGGTTTCACAGCTGCTCTTAACAAGGATGCGTCATCATTCCACCTGCAGAAGCCCTTGGCTCAGGAGGACGACACAGCCGTCTACTACTGTGCTCTGAGTGACACAGCAACTGCTCCTGCCAGAGAAGCAAAACACAAACCCCCAGAGTGTAGCAAAGTGCTTCCTGTCAGTTCTGTGGCCACAGTGGGGCATTCTTCCTCTAGAAATTGGAGCTGAGTTTATCTCTGTGATACATATATCAGAAAAATTTCCACATTTTATCAAACAAAACTCATTACCTACTATGTTTGCATTAGTTTAAACGTAAGTACATTTATTTTTTTTTTCTACAAGTCCAGAGGAAAGAATGACCTTGTAAGGACACAGTGACAATTTGCAAATCAAGGAGGGAGGCCCCAGGAGAAGCTAAGGCTGTGGATAACTTGATTTTTGACTAGCAGCCTTCAGAATTATGAGAAAATAAATTTGTATTCGTTAATCTACCCAGTAGATTTTACTATGGAAGTACTGGCGAAAGTAATACTCTATAGATGTGGCCTCCCTGTACAGACAGATGCGAACATGCGACTTGGGATGGACAACTGGATGCATTGTTCCCAACTTTGACTAAGGAGTTACTTATGAAAAGAGTATACTGTTGAGTCGCCTTTCACAAAGTGGCTGTAATTGCAACATGAAGGCAGGACTGTGGGACAGCGGCTGCACATACTGCTTAGTGGAGAAGCCTGGAAAATACCACTCAGTATGGAGCTCAGAGCAAGGCCAGACCCTCTAGGATTGTCTGTGCTGTGAATCTTATGTTGTTGCTGAATACGCAGCTCTTGATTCTAGCTCTCTGACCATATTTTATTCAAATCCACTGTTACTTTTAAAAATATTTTTATTGAATTCATGTTGATTTGGTACATATTAACCATATTTAGCTCCCCTCCCTTTACTGTACCCCCCATAGATCACTCACAGGATTTCATATATTCTATCTTATATGTTAAGGCCTACCAAGTCAAGTTCATGTACCTGGATGTCCCTCGGTGGGTGCAAGCTCATCCACTGGAGCCTAGTCAACCTATCAAGAGTCACTCCCTTCAGAAGATCAACTCTCGACCTCACCCAGCAGTTATCAGCTGCCAATACTTCCTCACAAAAGTTGTGGTCTGTTGTTCATTTCCCAAGTTCTATTCTGGTTTTTGTCTGACTGAGTTTGTGTATACTGTCACCATATCTGTAAGTTCATATGAGCAAGGTCCCAGGAACCTGTAAGACTGTTTCTGTATGGTCGTGCACCTCCTCCCCTAACTCTTATAATCTCTGTGCCCTCTCTTCCACAATGGTCCCTGTGTCCTGGGTGGGTGAGGTTTAATATAGAAGTCCTGTCCAAGGACCTACATTCTGCAGTCCCTTATTCTTTTCACTTTGGCCAGATGTGGCCTTTTGTGTCCATCACCCTCTGTTGCATGAGGAAGCTTCACGGATAAGAGTTGAGAGGCACATTAGTATCCTCTCTCTATCCCTTACCCCACTATGCTCCACAAGCCTTGGGTGTGGAGGTTCCATTGTAGATGTGTCACTTAGGGTTGGGGATGTCACAGACATTTATTCTCTGCATGACCTACTATTAATTTAAATTTATTCATTTATTTGTTTATCTAATAGAGATCCATTTCTTTTGCATATCAATAAAATCTCCTAGTTACATGAAATATCATCTAAGCATCAGGAAAAGCAGTATTTTTTATCTCATTGAGATTTTGTGCATTTCATACAATGGCCCTCCAATAACTCTATAGACCTCCCTCCCCCATTCATGCCCTCACATACCCCCCCGGACCTTATGCATTCTGTCATATCTGTTAAGTCCTATCCAGTCAAGCATCTGCACTCAGATGTCCCTAGGTACAAGTTTATTCACTGGAGTCTAGTCAGTCCATTCAGGGATCTTAAGGAAAGTCTACTCTCCCTCACCCAGCCACAATCAGTTTCCAACAGTTCTCAGACTAGGGCTGGCCCATTGCCCATTTTCCTCACTACATGCTGGGCCCTTGTCTGATTGAAGCAGCATGGGTCCTGTGAATGATGCCACCATTACCACAAGTTCACATAAGCAAGCTTCCAGTGAGTGACCTGAAACTTCTGTTTCCCCATGTTCATGGACCAACCCTAGCTGTTACAGTCTTTCCACCCCCTCTTCCACAATGGTCCCTGAGCTGTGGGTGGGTGAGGTTTATTAATGCCAGTCCTATCCAGGCACACACACTCTGTAGTGTCTTATTTTCTAAAATATAGCCAGTTGTGACCCTCTGTGTACATCACACTCTGTTGTGTAAAGAAGCTTCACTGGTGAGAGTTGAGAGATGCACTCACATTCTCTTCATTCCCTGCTCCACTATGTTCATGAGCCTTAGGTGTAGAGGCTCCACTGTAGATATGTCACCTAGGGGTGGGCATCTCTCAGATGTACGTACTCTGTATGGGACCAGTTTTGGAACTCTGTAATATCCTCCATCTGTTGCAAAAAGAAGCTTCTGTGATGAGTGGTGTATGGTACACTTGTCTGTAAATATAAGGATCCATATTTAGCATATGATGAGACATTTCATTTGTCTAGAGATATGACAGAGATGGGGTTTTCTCTAGGATCTATGACCTCTCCAGCCATGTATATTTGGCTATAATTACAGTGTCACCCATGAGTTCTCTCCAACAGAGGGGGCCCCAAGTTCAATTAGATAGCTGTTGATTACAACACCGTCCCACCAGATAACAGTGTCACTACTACACCAATAGAGGTAGTTTGCTGTGCCAGTCATTGTGCCCCTTAGGCTGTTCAGCTGGTTTGGACTGTTGGTTGATTTTCTCCCCTAGTGATTACATAATATCCTCTAGAACCACGAGAGCCAGTCTTCATGAAGAAGGCTTCCAGGTCATTTCCAGCTCCATTGCTCCAAGCTCTGTGTCTGGAGTGTGTTCAGTCTTCAGTACTCGGGTCTTACCTTCAAGTTCTGGGAGATAGCCAAGAGCTCCAGCAATAGCTTGTGCTATTTTGGAGACTCTTGGACTACTCTGACCAACCGCATGAAGGAAGGTCTCTCCTGTCCGGCACTGTGTTCCATGCCATACAGTCCCCAGGTATGTACATGTACTAATATTCAGACACCAACATCTTTGCCCCTCTCCCAGATACCCCCTTAAAAGTTTTTTTTTGTCTTTTTTTGAAATAGGATTTCCCTCTAGCCCCAGCTGACCTGGTACTCACTATGTACATGTGGAAGGCCTCGATCTCACAGAGATCCATCTACCTGCCTCTGCCTCTCAAGTGCTGGGACTAAAGGCATGCGCCACCACATCCAGCTTAAAGTTTATTTTCTTTATTAATGTGTGTGTGTGTGTGTGTGTGTGTGTACATGCGCTGTGGCATGTGTGTGTACATGTGCTGTGGCATGTATGTGTACATGCGCTGTGGCAGGTGTGGAGGTCAGAGGACTACTGTCTGGAGTTGCTTCTTTTCTCCATTGTGAGCTCTGGGGCTAGAACTCAGAGCTTGCATGACAAATACTTTTACCCACTGAGCCATCTTGTCTGTCCTTGAAGCACTTTTCAGGGTTTGTAACTATTGTAGATCTCCTACTGGTGTTTTTCAGAAGTCCTCAGTAAATGCTGGGCTTCATCAGTCTTTCCTCATTGACCTTTTACCTGAATTAAGCTATGCATCCTCTTTATAACGGAACAAGACAGAAAATGAAATAGTCTTGTAATTTCTTCTCAATCAGGTCCATACACTTGACCATTTCAGAACACTTCCTAGTAGCAGGATAATGTGGCCACCACCAGATGTCAGTGCCTTCTCAAAGATGAGAGAGAAAGAGAGAAGAGAGAGAGAGAGAGAGAGAGAGAGAGAGAGAGAGAGAGAGAGAATTGAGCAAGCTTGTCTCTGGATAAGTGCAAACCTGAAGCTTGGGGGCTAGAGAACTAGATCTCTACTCAGCAAAAACAGCTGACTCTGACATAGGAACCTGGCGCCAATTCAGGGTCTCCTGTGATACAAACAAAGGACAAGAATGGACAAATTCCTAGGACTGTCCTTGGTGACTCTGTGGCTTCAACTGGCTTGTAAGTTGGGGATGGTGGTAAAGGGAATATGGATTCTAAATTCAGAGGCCATATGGTTGAGAGGTGGAATCTTCCTGCTCATTTGGAAGTGCAATTTGAAAATGTAACCAAAGTCTTCTGGTCTCTGGTCTGTGTTTCTTCCTAGGGGTGAACAGCCAACAAGGAGAAGGGAATCTTCAGGCCCTGAACATCCAAGAGGGTGAAAATGTCACCATGAACTGCAGTTACACAGTGTCCATAACCAGTCTTCAGTGGTATAGACAGGACTCAGGTAGTGGTCCTGCCTCTGTAATTTTCATACATTCAAATGAGACAGAGAAACGCAGTGGAGGACTAAGAGTGACCCCTGACACCTCCACCAGAAGCAGCTCCCTGTCCATCCACTACCCAGGCTGCAGACAACACTGTGTACACTTCTGTGCTGCAGATGCATGCCGCTCAGCAGGCACCCGCCTTCCTGATGCAAAACCCCAGAACTGCTTCCTACGATCCCTAACTGTGGGTGGAGTTGGTGGTTCTTCTCAGGAATGAGAATCTACCGGTGACTGGAAAGGGAAACCCACTTAAGCTTGTACTGGTTGGATGGAGGCTCCTAGTACCCTGGGCTGGGGCACAGGGCCGAGAATTACAGTAGGAAGCTTTTCAGCCGTCTGTTCTGCCCAGCCTGCCCACCTGTCCTCACCTCATCAACACTGCGGCAGCTCTGATTTCCCCATGTGAAATCTGGCTCACTGAGCCTCACAGAGCCATCAGCTTTGATTTTAGCAAACCTGGGCGTTTGTGTGGAGTAAGGAAACTCAGTATTGGAAGGTCAAGTCTGTCTCTTGTGCGGCTCCAAGACCTAGATAGACGGGGCGGGGGTGGGGTGTGGAGGTAGGGGAAAAGTCTCCCAGTTCCAGGAAACTGTTCATTCACTAGGCTTTAGAGGGAAGGCACCTTAGGACACTGTAATCCCAGGGCTTCCTCAGACAGCTGAGGGTGTCAGGAAAAGTAAAGATATGAACCTTGGAGTAAGTGAAACAAAACACACCTGAATCTGACCCAACTGTTGAAGAGCGTGACTTTCCCTCCTCAATTTACTCATTTGTGAAATAAAACTCACAAGCAAGCCAGTTCCCCATCCAAGTAGGAAGCATCTTCCTACTACCACATCCCGAGATGCTGTGTTAAATCTAGATATTTCTGGGATGAAGTACTTCAATTTTATCCTTGCTCTTAAGAAAATAAACTAATGCTGAGAATAGTTTTATTGACACAATTTTCACTGAAAATCTGTGTAGAGAAAATCAGAGCCTTGGCATTTGTTTGCAAGCTTGGTGAAAAATGGGAATGGAAGACAGAGGACAGTGGCTCTGGATTCCGCTCCTCAACCCCTCACCTAGAGCACTGTTGAACATGTGAACTATTTGGCTTAGAGCTGGCTTAGTTTCTGATGATCTGGTGAAATTTTTAATAAACAACATTTATTGATCAGAGATTGGCTGAGTTTTACGGTACTGAAAACTCTGTATTTTCAACAAGGATTTTTTTTTTCTCACATCAGGAAAAGCCTTAAGAAGACGCCTGGCCACAAGTGGCTGAGCCTGGCTTCAAGGTGGCCACACCTGGCTGTGAGGGACTCGGGTTCTCAAGCTCTGCATTTCTCATCCTTCACGTTTCGGTCTTGTTTTCACACTACCACGAAGCTGCTCGACATCTGTGCTATACAGCTCTGGGAAGAAAGGAGTCACGGGTCCATGGGCCATGGCTTGCTGAGTCAGTCATTTCCTGAAAAGCCACTCAACAGCTCCTCCTCTGTTTCTCTTGTACTGCAGCCCAAAGTCTCTATCCCTCCCTGTACGCAGAGAACACAGAGCCACAGGATAAATTTTCAATCTGTGTTGCCACATACATCAAAACTAAAGCTCCTTAGGGGCTGAAGAGATGGCAGATCGGTTAAGAGCACTGTCTCCTCTTGCAGAGCCTTAGCTCAATTCCTAACACCCACATAGTGGCTAACAACCATCCATAATTCCAGTTCTAGGGGAATCTGAAACTTTTGTCTGATCCCAAAGGCATCACATGACATGAGTGCACTTACATACATGCAGGCAATACATCCATACACGTGAAATAAAGTAATGACTAAAATACTTTTAAAAACTAGAGTTCTTTAGTAAGAAGTAGAAGAAATGGATGTTGAATTGGTAGCCTATGGTCTGTGCCACCCCCTCAATCAGGGAATCTCAGGATTTAGGATGTTTTGGCATTATTATTACTTATCTTTTGCTTATTGTGTGTAATTTAAATCCTAGTTCTGTAGAACTTATTTCTTATTTGTTTGCATAATCTTTTAAAAAATCCACCCAATCCTTTGTCCCGTTGTGCCCGGCGCACTTGATATACCCATTACTCCTGTGCAGATTCCTGAATACAGTGACAGTGAACTTGTCAGAGCATACATAAACTTTCCAGTCACATTGATCCCATTAGCTCTTAAGATGAGAAAAGCCTCCTTACATGATCTTTGGCTCCTTCACAACCTACATTCCTGCTTCATCCAGGGTATGCTATGCTCCTAATCGCTCTCATTCGCTCTTTGAAACTGGTTTTATTTCTTATTCTTTAAGTAACTTATTATTTCTATATGTCTCCTATAGTGATTTTAGTGATTTCTTCTACATCTTATTTTTTCTATTTTTTTCTCTTCTCTGAGGAGCAGGAACTATGAAATAAGCACTCATTCTAACACATCTTCTCCGATTAGCAGTGGGAGAAGCTAGGGGAACTCACTGAGAAACACAGTAGAGTCTTTTAAAAGCTGGCAATCCCCCTCTTTCTTTGGGGACTGAACTAGAGAGCTGTACTCTGTTCTTCTGCTGTACATGTTACTTAATGGTAGGGACCATTATCTGTGTTGCTTTCCCATTAATCCTCAATACTACAGTCCTGGAGGACTCATTCACCAGAGCAGCTCTCTGACTTTCCCTTTCTGGTACTTCCAATTTCAAAGCAAAGGTGCCTAAGCTTCCGCAGGAATGCATTAGAATTAGCAGAGGTCTCCAGGCCATTCATGCTATGCACAACAGCTCCTTACACCTGAAGAAACAGTCCATGCAGATGTCAGTCCTGGCCATATACTCCTGTGCTGAGTCTTATTGACAAACACATCAAGGACCCAGTGGGATGCAGGTGGGCTGGGTGTGAGGAGCATTGAGAGGCTGTTTTCTCTTTCCAAAGCTCCCAAAAGCAGGAGTGGCAGAAATACCCATGATTCTCTGTCCAGGAATGTGGGAAGGGAACCCTGGTTTCTTATCTTCTCCTAAATGAGCAGCCCTGCCTGGAGGCTGTAATGATGGTGGGAACTGAAACTCCAGTCCAGGCCTTAATCTCTTCTGGTGAAAAGCTTTGGAACTAGATCTCAAGGTTTTTGAAGTAGAAATGGGTCTGTCTATTCCCAAATTTTACCTCATTCCCCTAATGATATCAGGGTTACCTCTTCAGAGGGAGGAAATTGTTACAGTAGCATTGGAGGCCCCCTAAGGGAAAGCTCTTTCTGTCTGGTCAAGACACTGACTCTCTGGCCTGAGTGGAGACGTAACTCTCCAATTGAGCTGGTCAATCACATGGCCAAGGGACTACAACTTCTTAGGAACGCCTATGTACCTCCTGTGTTCTAAAGAGATGGGAGGGATACTTATCTCATTAATGCATTAAGTACTTTTCCTTCCCAGAAATTCTGCCCCTGTGCATTCTATACATAGGTGCCAAGTTTGGCCTGGCTTTATCAATCCTGATTCAAAAAGGTGTCATTTGTTTTTCTTTTTTGTCTTTTTATCCCTACTGCCCTACTTCCTCCTCTGATTTTCCCACTCTTGAGCTCTGATTAAATGGACCATCTGGGCTCTTCAGTGAATGACAGTGGCCTTACTTTAAATGTTTCCAGCTTTGTATGCCAGGCCTGTGTGGCCAGGCCTGTGTCTTCTGTGGCTCCCCTATAAGTGCTCCCTAGGGCCAAGGTAGTGCTCCAAGTCATAATCAGACTTACCAGGGTTTCTTATTATTCTAGATTAACTGCTTCATTTAAAGATGGGGAAACTGAAGCTCCAGTTTGAAGGGAAAAGCAGTTATCAAAGCTCACACAGCAGAGATGGAAACACCTTGCCTCCTGACCCCAGTCCTACAGTTCTTCCTCCTTCCAGAGTGTGCACGTGCGTGCGTGCGTGCGTGCCTGTGGGTATGTTTGTATTTTTTTTGAGACAGGGTCTCCTTGGAGCCCAAGCTGTCCTGGAACTCACTACGTAGACCAGGCTGGCCTTGAACTCACAAAGATCAGCCTGCCTCTGCCTCCCAAGTACTGGGATCAAAGGCGTGTGCCACCACACCCGGCTCTTTTTCTTCTTTTTATTACTTTTCCCATCTTTTGGATACTTGCCAAAGCCTGGAAATGTTTTTGAGGATGTTCTAGGCATTCAGACATTTCTTTTTCTAAGTAGTTTACACCTTCCATCCCATCATCTGCCATGTGGCTGTTCACAAAGGGCTTTTTCTCTTCTCCCCATCTCCCTCCTTGGGTCAGCTGCCGCGATTTACTGCTGACCTGCCCTGAAGTTCGATAATTTCAACTTTAATAGAATTGTTCTCTAGTTTTTTCCTGAATCTTTTCTTGAATTATTTTATTAACAAGACTAAGGACCCTGACAGGAGACCCTAATTAACTCCTTGTCCTACCACAGGTGGGACACCTCAATTTCCCAGGAACATGTGGTACCACAGGTGGGCTATCTCTTACTTAAATGCTAATAAGTAAATTTAAAACATATGTGCAGGAAATGGTGCCTACAAAGATTTTACTGGCCCTAATGCCAGGGACAAATGACAACCTGTCTGGAACTATAGTGGTTCATGTGTTCCCTTGTTTCTGACAGGGTCTCAATATGTGACCTAGGCTGCTTTGAACTCACAGACTTAACTCAGCCTTTCACATGCTAGAATTACTGCCATACACCAGGAAGCCTGGCTCTTGCTAATATTTTTAACAGAGTTAAAATATTTTTATTTTTTGATATTACTCTGCCTGCATATTGTATATTATGTTTTTTCCCTATTCCAAGCTGCACCACAGTCAATGTATGTATTTTAAGAAACAGGAGTGTTAATGGTGAATATAACAATTACGGTTGAAATCTAAGCAACTTATCACTAAGTAAAATTTTGTGAATTTATCTTTGTTTATACTTATGATTATGAAACACATGCACATGTGTGATTCTTCCCTGATGTTACTTGACATGGCACATGTATGGCAGATTTTGTGACTCGGGGAGCATAATGATAAAACTTTCATAAGGAATAACATGTTACTACATGAATTGTGCTGGGTCCCTTGGCAGGAGGAGAGAGAAGATCAGGCAAAGTTTTGCATTCCTGCTGCAATGTCAAACTTCATTTCTCTCTGAAAGAAAGGATGCCTGGCTAAGACCTAAAGCAATATGGCCGTGTCATCCACTGTATTACTATATCTCAAAATAAATTGCATGTCCTGCATTATACATGAAAGAATGATCTGAAAATAAGTCAGTGTTCCTTATGTTGTTTTCTAGTCCAATAAGTTATAGTGAGGAACAGCAGGTCCTTGAGACAGTCCAGCATTCTCCCATCCCACACAGGAAGTTGTGACAGGACACAGGCAAACCTGTCCCTAAGTGCTAACTGTGTTTCCTGTTGGAGGAGATACCACATAGCCCGATGACGTTTCTTGTTCCTCTAGAGCACAAGGTACAGATTAAGATCTGCACTGAGACAGAACGCAGAGCATTTCACTCAGGAAGAGAGCTAACACCATGCTGATCACCAGCCTGCTGAGAGCAGCCATTGCCTCCATCTGTCTTGGTAAAGGTCCCACACTGGGCAAACTCTTATCCCAAAACTTGTGGGGAGAGGAGGTCATTGATCTCTCATGAGGCTCAGAGGGAGAAGTATCAGAGCTCTAGATCATAAGCCAGCTTACACTCCCATAGTTACAGAGGTTTTTTGTTTCTGTCCCTTTCCTATAGCAACCAGTGTGGCTCAGAAGGTAACTCAGGCTCAGGCCGCGATCTCTGTCATAGAGAAGAAGGACGTGACATTGGACTGTGTGTACGAAACCAGTGAGAGTACTTATTCCTTATTCTGGTACAAGCAGCCACCAAGTGGGGAAATGGTTTTCCTTGTTCGCCAGGACTCTTATAATAAGGAAAACGCAACAGACGGTCGCTATTCTCTGAACTTCCAGAAATCTGCCAGCTACATTGGGTTCACTGTCACAGCCACACGGATTGAAGACTCAGCGGTGTATTTCTGTGCTCTGACGAGAGCACAGTGAAAAGAATGTCTACAGGAGTCCCACAAAAACCTCAACGAGAGACAGGAACCTGGGGAAAGATTCCACTACAGACAGGGAGATGCCGGGGCTGTGGCAGTACCAGTGGGGGCCTGGCAAGAAACCTAGTTCAATTCACATGGAATGTCTAGCAATATTGTTTATTAGAAGTATGAATATTTTATATTCTCTATTGTTTTGAGACAGATGCCCAGCATCCTTGGGATTCCAAGCAGGGATGAAGCAGTTTTAAAATTCTGTTAAAATTGGGTAAAATCACTATTAGTGCGGATGATAAGTTATCATTATAAGCACTCCGATGTTCATTTTCCTGTAAATAAGCACAGATGCTCAGGTATGGGCCAGTTTGGCTCCCTAGGTGGCAGCGTTTCTCTCTCTTTTGCTGCTCTGCTTGCCTTGAGTAGAAGGGCTGTCTGCCAAGTAGTCAACCAGCCCACCCAGTGCCAACATTGCCCGTTCTGCCCACTCCACAAACGCTTTGAGAAAACCGCACTATGCTCACAGCTCCCCGCTGCCCTGCTTCCTGAAGGGGCAGCCCCCGCTCAGGGATCTTTCTGACAGTTTGTATAAACTTGTTATAGCAAACCGTAGTGAGATCTAGATGACCTTGAAATCACTTCCACCTAGGTCAGGGGTGAATATTCCCTGGTGGCCTAGCAGAGGTGCTGCTGTGACTGCTGCTAAAGAGACAGCGCTGGGATGGGTACCAAAACAAGCCTGCACGTGCAGGTGAGGTCTGCCGTGCTGGTGCAAACATTCCTTCCTGGCCGGATCAGCAGGCAGTTTGGCTCACGTGGCGAGTCAACTGGGAGACACCTTCCTGCGCTGCCACCGTCCCTGTTGATGCGAAATTAAGCTCAGTAAAAGGTTTCTTTCAGGCTGAGAGAATGGATCAGTGGTTAAAGCAGTTGTAGTGCAAACCTGACACCTCAATTAGGGTTGCAAGAACCTATATAAAAGCCAGAGGCAGCAGTGCATGCACCTGGATCCAGTGTTCCTACGGGGAGCTAGCAGTGCATGCACCTGTATCCAGTGTTCCTACGGGGAGCTAGCAGTGCATGCACCTGTATCCAGTGTTCCTACGGGGAGCTAGCAGTGCATGCACCTGTTTCCAATGTTCCTACAGGGAAATATGAGGCAGAAATGAGAAAGTCCTCAGAAACAGCACGGGGACCACTTTGTCACACACAAGAGTGAAGCACAAAGTTGACCTTGCCTCAAGCAAAGTGGACGGGGACTGAAATCTGAGATTGTCCTATGACCTCCACTCTCCTACATGAACATGTATACACATGCACACACACAGATGCACACACACAGAGGTCTCTCTCAAGTGGTCTTTCCTTCCTCCTTTCAGTAGTGCAGGCTAAATAGAAAACTCAAAGAAGCAGCAGGGACAGCAGAGCGGCAGTGACGGCCCTGGCAGTGGAACAGCAGCCTCAGCAGCTGAACAGAGAGAAGGCGGAGTGCAGAAGGAGCAAATGAACATTGCCTGGGCAGCTGATGAAGAGGCCGCTGAGCAGTTCAAGTGAGTATCCAGAACAAGGCGGGTGCCAGGGGAGAGGATGGAGCTGAGGCTGCACACAGAGACAAGGCTGGGGAGAGCGGAGAGGGGCGTGTCCAGGCCCTGCTTGCTGGAGTCCCAGAGAGCTGTCAAGCACTAGGGACAGGGGGCTCAGATACCCCATGCCCAGGAGGTAAAACACTGGCTTCTGTCAGTGGCAGAGGACTAGACCCACCTGAAGAAGCTATGCCAGCTGTTGCCAAGGCTGGGAAATCCTGGCTTCTTAAGCCTCCACAAGAACTGTAGCATTGTAGGCTCAATGGTCCAGTACCCTTTGCCTACCCCATTTTCCTGCTACTCAAGGCATCACAAAAGGTGTAACACTAGAGGGTGCCATCTGCAGCTGTTTCTGCCTGTCTGCTGCCTCAACCCCTGCCTTACCCTTCAAGGAGGCGGACAGAAGTTACCTACATCAGCACTTGAAATATTTCTCCTGGACAACCTGTGGTTTTCAATCTAGAAAGGCCAATAGGACCCTCAAGTAGCTGATTGAGAACTGTTGGGATAAAATATAAAGCACACGCAAAAAGGAGGTATAAAATGAAATTTAACAAAACCTATTAATCTTGTGCTGGTTTTGTTGAGATGGGATAACTATCAAACTATCTTCAGAACACATGAGTGATTCTACTGGCAAGTAATAAAACGTGCAGAATCATTCATACAGTTCTTCATTAATTATGTAGAATGCCTAACCAACTTTGAAATGAAATGTCTACACTGACTTTTCTCCAAAATAGAACGGCTGCCCAATGAAGGAGAATAAGTTATTTTAATTTAGGCCTCTTTCCATAACCATACTAATAGCTTTTTGCACAAGAAGAATAGATGTGAAATGTTTTACAAATTGCATTTTGGAGATGAGAATATGATTTTTGAAAACTATCTAAATACACTGCTCTCATTTGGAAGCTTCCTGCTGAGGGAAATATTTCAGGTGGAAATAAACCTGCCCAATGTCTTGCCTCCACTTTTCCCCCTGAAGTTTTAACCAGTTTGAAACCGAGAAAATATTGGGACCAAAATGGCAACCAAAACCAGACGGTTATAGTCCAGTGTTCACTTCATTCCTGAACATATACTCCTTTCCGCCGATGCTGCAATAGATGCGCAGGAGCAATGGTCCTTAATTTCCCTTGTTCCATCCAAGTATTTGAAACCTCTGGATTAACTGTCAACATTAAAAATCAGTTATCACATTATAAAACAGCTTTCTAGATTATCTACAAAAAATGAAACAGTTGGGGCTGGAGATATTGCTCAGCAGTAAAGAGCATCCACTGCTCTTGCAGAGGACTAGGGTTCAATTTCCAGCACTTACATGGTGGTTAACAAGCATCTGTAACTCAAGTTCCAGGGGATCTGACACGCCCTTCTGACTTCGGGGCATTGCGTGACATAGGTAAACTTACACACATGCAGGCAATACACTCATACACATAAAATAAAAATAATAAGATATTTTTTAAATGAAACAGTAAACATTCTAGGGAGAGGTAAAAAATTCTGCCTGATCATGTAATGAACTGTTGTACATTAATTTCATTAAAAAACACCTATCTCAATATGAGTCATGTTAAATGTTAAGTTGTTAACTATGAGAATTAACCAAAACCAGTGAATAGACAAATCTGAACTATTGCTTGAAACAAAAATGGACTTCCTCCATATTTTATATTACCGTATGTATCCTAACTTGGGAAATCTAAGTGTAGTTAATGAATGAATGGTATTTAGCGTCCACGTAAGTGTTGGGAAACCTTAATTAGGAAGACAGATGTGACTCCTGCCTTTGTGGATGTCATATTGAGCAGGTCACTGTGGCAACCAGTGTCAGTCAACAGAGAAATCACTAAACTGAAGTTTTAGAGTGAATTGTACAAGAATCTTATGTGGCCCCATGGATGTTACTAACTTCCACAAACTATTCCCTCATCTAGGAAAAAACAAGATGTAAATTGAGCAGTTCCTGGTGAGTCATTATCTCCAAAGTTTTTACTAGCTTCATAAAAGCACCCATTTCACTGCGCTTTGGACTTTCTGGCACTATTAGTTACCCATTTTTATTTTGGAAACCAGTTGTTACAGAATTTCCAGGGAGCTCCACACACTGTATCATAAGATAACAGTCATACAAGAGGCCAGGCAGGGAGAGGAGAGTGACCAGGAGTCACCTGCTTTCATAATACAGGAGCTACTGTTCTTCTATACAGCTAAGAAAGAGAACAGAAGACACAGAAGACTGTGGAAGAGAAAGAAGGGGAAGGTAAGAGGTAAGGAAAGAAGGGGAAGGTGGGAGGAATCGGGAAGGGGAATGCTCGTTAACTCAAATAAAACAGTTTCTAATTGAATTTGATATTGATTTCTTTCACAAAACATTAGAAATCTCTCTTTATATGGGATAATCAGGAAAGGGGACTGCTGAGTCATACAGTCTCATGGACTGAGGGTCCACCTGGTTCTCAGCCTCCTCACTGCATAGACGGTCATTGTTCAACTACCCAGTCTGAATCACGGAAACCAATCTGACAAATCTCTAATATGCATGAATTATGTTAATTCTGTTTCTTTAGAGAGCCCTGAGTAACACAGCGCATTGCAGCAAAGCAAGGAAATCTCTGGTATAGGCATCAGATGAGATTCTCTGGTATAGGCGTCAGATGAGATTCTTAACGTTTGTGTTGGTGGAAGCTCAAGGCCTTTTTGTACATTTCAAAAGGATTAACCTAACAGAATGTTAGGTGACACACAGTGGTATGCAATAAACAGCTATTTAGACAGCCAAAGACAGCCCCAGATAAATGCTCCCACCCCAGAGCTTTCTACCTCTCCACAATCAAGCAACTACCCTTGTAGAGTGTTTACTACAGGTGTGACTTTTTCTTTGGTACCTTGGACAGCAGCATATACGAACTCTGAAAGACTGAGGGGGATCATGGAGTCTTGCACCAAGCTTCCAGAAAGTCTCTGAGGCCAGATCATGTATAGCAAGGTTAGAGGCTCTCCAAGAAGACCCTGAGAGGCCCCTGTAGGAATCTGTGAGGGTGAAGCCTAACCTGCATTGGACCCTCCATAGAGTTGGAGATGAGAAAACTGTGGGATATTTCCTGAGAAAAGCTTCAGGCATGGAATCAAGACAACCCAAGAAAAAGCTACCTGTGTGGTAGGCATATATGGTGGAGCAGTTGAGCTCTGGAGCATTTTAGAGCCCAGACAATTCCAATACAAGCCCCAAATGCTGATTGTGGAGCTGTAGGATTTGATGTCTGCCCTGCTTGGTTGTTTAGGTCCATTTGTTCCTAGATATGCCCTCATTCTTCCCTTTGCAGTGGGAATGTTTACTCTATGCCTTTGCATAGTGGAAATATATAACTCAATCTTGGTTTTTGTTTTCTTTTTATTTTACAGAGGTTCATAGTTAAGAGATAGCTTTAAGTTTCAAAAGAGACTTTGGGCTGTACAGTACAGTAAGGAATATAGGATTTTTAGGGATGAACTGTATGCATTTTGTATTATGAAAAGATTAGTCTTTAGAAGTGTCAAGTATAATATTATGACTTAATGCTGCTGTATTTGGACTTCCAGTTAACAAGGATGTTTCCAGAAGTTTAATGTAAGCAAGAAGACCAACCCTGAATGTGGCACCACCATCCCGTGGGTTGATGTACCAGAATTAATACAAAGAAGGGGGTTGTCTGAGAACCAGAATTTATCACTATATTAGTTACTTTTCTGTTGCTGTGACAGAAACAGTGGTGAAATCAACTTATAGAAAGAAGGGCTTACTTAAGCTTATGTTTCCAAGGGGCAACAGCCCATCATGGTGAAGAGGTATGGCAGCAGAGGTGGCTAGAGGAGGAGTGGAAGCTAAGCTCACATGTCTTCAAGCAGGCACAGGAAACAAGAGAGCAACTGGAGATCCAGCAAGGCTTAAGAACTCTCTAAGCCTGCCTCCAGTGACGTGTTTCTTCCAGCATGGCCACATTTTCTAAGACCTCCCAAAACAGTGCCTCCAGCTGGGGACAAAAATGTCCAAATACTTGGAGTCTATGGGAGACAATTTCATTCAAATCACCACAATCTATCTCTGACTGCAGACGGCAGATATAATGTGACCAGCCACCTTATGCTCCTGGCACCATGCCTTTCTACTATGATAGGCTGTATCCTCTAGAAATGTAAATTGAAATGTCTTCTGATATAGGACAGATAGCAGTAGTCATATGCTACAGTATAAGGGCACATTTGTACTTCAATTTATAGAAGTAGCCCAGCACGTACTTGCTGTTAGTGGTTTCTTTATTGAGTGAATCTTATATCTAGATGTAATTTAAATGAGGACTCATGAGGAATGCCAACCTCAGTGACATTGGTGTATGTGAACCTGCCACACAGAGGTGGGAGCATGAGCAAAGCACCAACACTGTAAACCCCAGAGATATGAACAGCCTCCTGACCAGAGGCGAGCTGAGCTCTGCCGTAACTGACGCCTTTCTGTTTCCACTCCCTATGTAATCTATTGGCTAAGGTTATGATATAAGACAGACTTTTACAGTGTGTATCCTCTGTCTTTCCAGATTACCAGATCCCTGAAAAGCACAGTTTTTAAGATTTTAATCCTTGTTTCTGATCGTTGGTTTCTGTGACAAGTAATATAGAATGAATTCTAGTTTCACTTCTTTCCTTAAACTGCTTTTGGTCATAACAATGATAAAAGTAATATGAAAACCTCCAACTCATGAATTCCTTAGGGGTTAGAATGCAAACTGTAAAACATAGGACCCATTGTGACATGTGGAGGAAGAGAGCTCAGGCTACTCCACTTAAAATTTGACCTTGAGTCAGGCCCTGGTTCCTAGCACACTCTGAAGTCAGAGACAGGCCTGGTCTACATAGCCAGTTCTGGACCAGCCAGGCAGGACTACTTAAAAAACAAAGAAAATAAAATTGAGCTTGGGGTTATTTGCAAAGCTATAAGTCTCTAAATTTTTAAATGCTATCCTAAGTAGATGTTTGAAACTATAAAGCAAATGTTAGGCACTTTCTTAGCCTTCTTTTTTCATGGTCCTTCCATATCTGCCTTCCCCTCAAACTATCTTACAGTAGTTCCCATTATTGAATGCTTTACATGGTGTCAGTACTTACAGTGAACTGTGATCACAAAATACTAAATAGACTTTCCAGAAATAATTAATTCATGAGGTTTAAATTATATGCCGTTCTGCATAACGTGATGAAAACTTACATCATTGTTCTCCATCTACCAAGGATGTAAATCATCCCTTGTCCAGTGCATCCACGATGGATGACCACTGAGTGCATCTGTCAGTATGTAAAGTCAATTCATGCTGGTTTTACTTTTGTGCTTAAACCATAAGTGTGACAGTGTTAGTGGATAAGTGCTTCATTCAAATGGAAAAGTCACTAATTGGAGTAGAAAAATGAACAAGGCATACGGTTTCAGTTAGTGGCAAAAATTTATATATTTATAATAAAATATCATAGATGTGTGTGTTCAAACAGCAGAGTTCTATGCCATCTTTGGTCAATCATTCGTTGGAGGTCTTGAACATATCACCTGTTAACAGCATCTACTTTAGAATTAAAATCATTAGAGAAAACTTTGGTAGAGTTTGTATGAAAACCACGAGAGATCACAGCTGTTCTAGATGTGGTTTCATTTACATTCAGGTCATAGTTGAACACGCCTATTGTCTTTGGGTCATAAGAAAGACAGCTGTTGTACAGAAAGAAGTTCTTGCCTGTGAGTAAGTCCTTATTATAAAATCTTCTGGAGGCTAACCCTGTATGATTTGGTGTACTGAAAGAAGTAAGAATCACTTACTTCTAAGAACATGCCTTCTGTCAAATGCTTGGGACTTGGGATCCTCTTACTGTTCAGTAAGTCACATTTTATCCTAAGAACTGATGATGACAATTCATTTTTAGGTCATAACAACCTTCAGCTTTTAACCCTTTTAACAAAGCAATTTTATTTTTTCTAGCGAAGAGTAATGGAGATTCTGTGACCCAGACAGAAGGTCCAGTTACTGTCACAGAGAGGGCATCTGTAATGCTGAACTGCACCTACCAGACCACTTATTCAGTTCCCACGGTTTTCTGGTACATCCAAGATCTCAACAAAGCCCCTCAGCTGCTCCTGAAGACAGCAACTGAAAACCAGAGGACGGAGAACCGAGGGTTTCACGCCACGCTTGTGAAGAGCAGTAACTCCTTCCACCTGCACAAGTCCTCACTGCAGCTGTCAGACTCGGCCCTGTACTACTGCGCTGTGAGTGACACAGTGCGGGAAACTGCAGGGGGAGCTGAGCACAAACCCAGGCTCACAGGAGGGCTGCAGGGGAGCGGCCCTGTGAGGGAAGGTTACATGCTTTCTCTAAGCAGTGTTTATTTAGCTTTCACAAGAACAGTAATAAATCCAAGATCAAATTCCTAGACACCTAGAAGACTGTGAACTAGTCACAGGAAGGACAGGGTCAGGGTCAGTGTTGGAACCAGTGTTGAGATCTGCAAGATCAGAGCTCAGTCAGGAAACCTAGTCTTCCCTTGATGGTGTAGTGTAGGCACTCTCACAGCAAATACTTCCAAGGAAAGCTTGATTTAAGATCAACCTTGACTAAAATGTCTCATGAAATTAACTTTTTAAAATTGCAATGGATTTTGTGTTCCTCTCACAAACATTCGTGACACACAATCTTGTCTTTATGACTCAGCTTCCGTCTCCACAACTTCGGCTCTGCTTTTACTTGATTCGTGTTGCAGAGAATTCAGTCTAACTGCTCACCAACTCTTCCCTTCATGAAGCAGCTCAAGAGGCACAGGAACTGGACAGCCGTCAGGATGAGGCCAGGAGGGTTGTTCCTTCCCTGTCCTCACTATGCACTGGGTGGCGAGGCAGCCTGGCTGGAAGATGCTCTTTCTAAGAAGTGCTCCCTCCTCCTGTGTGCTCTTGTGTACCACCACCCAAGGATGTGTGCAGTCTTTCATCCTGGACTTTAAGTTATCTGACAATTCTTTGGAAAGGGCTCGAAGGATGCCAAAATTTTGATCCATTCCAGGTCTTTAAGGAAAATAATGAACTTAAAAATGACAAAAGACCGAGGATGTCTTTCACAAGCAAATAACCAGCTTGGGTCTTGAGAATCCTTCCTAGTCCCAGACTTGAGGTCCTGAGCTCCTGTTCCTGAGCCTTCCTGGTTCCCCACCATCTCAGCTGTCAGTCTTCTGTGGTTTCAGGGACACTTACCCTACAGAGATGGCAGGGTGAGTTCCCTCTGAGTTCACATTCCTGAGAATACCCTGTACTGCGCCATCCCAGCTCTGTGTATCTGAGACCTGTGAGCTCCCCCAGCCTAACCTATCAGCATACCTATTCACCTAGCAGCCTCCAGCCCATCCTACTAATTCTGGACCTTGTGGAGTCCATCTTGGAATCTCAAAAGCTGCATCTAGCTCTAGCTGAAATGAGACTGATTCTTTCACTCCATATGCATGTCAGCATAAAGTGGCCCCAAAGCAGAAAAGCAAGCACTAGTCAGCCGGTCATAACCTGAAAAACTGGCGAAACAGCAAAGATACAATCAAACATTCAAAAAAGATGAGGTCACTTGCCCATACTAGGAAACACCGTAACACAAATCCAGATGCTTAGTTCTCATCAGAAATACACAAACAACATGAATAACCAAGGTAATATGCCACTAGAGAAGTTAGCAAGTCCATTGTAATGTTTCCTGAAAATGAAAACCGAGTGGATGCACAATACAATGGTTTCAAAATAGCCATTATTAATATATTCAAGGAACTCAGTATAGGAATAAAAGACTGAATGAAGACCAGGAAATTACAGATGGTGAAATGAAATAACTAAAAGAGTTCAAAACGTGGAATTAGAGTTCAATGAAGAGATAGAATCTCTGAAGAAAAGCGAAACTGAAATAAAACTTGAAATGACAAACTCAGGAAAGCAAACAAAAATCTCAAAGGAAAGAAGTAAGAAGAAAGTGGAGGAAATGGAACAGAGACTATCAGATCTGAAGACAAGCTTGGGGAAATGGATCACATGATCAAAGAAAATGTCTGGGACACTGTAAAAGACCAAACCTACAAATCATAGACGTAGAAGATGGCACAAAAATATTTTTAAGAAAGCCATAGAAGAAAGTTTTCCAAATCTAAAAGAGATACCTATCAAGGTACAAGTGTCTAAAGTATACCAAGTAGACAGCACCAGAAAAGAAACTCCCCACATCATATAATAGTTAACGCTAAACTTACATAATAAAGAAATATTGAAAGCTATGAGTGTGAAAAATCGAGTTACATAAAAAGGTACACCCATCAGAATAACAGCTGAGTTTTCAATGGAAAACACGAAAGCCAGAAAGGTTAGGACCAACATAATACATGTCAAAAAAGAACACAGTTTCCAGTCTAGACTACTATACCCAGCAAAACTATCAACTGAAGGAGAAAGAAAATCTTTCTGTGATAAAAGCAGATTTAAGGAATTTATGTCCACAAAGCCAGCTCTACAGAGAATACTTAACAAAATCCTTACCTCAGAAGAGAAGATTAAATTATCCCAGAGCAGTTAACCAAGAGAGGTCTAAGAACATCACTACAATACCAACACAACAGGAACTAATAAACACAGGTCAATAACCCTCAATATTAATGATGTCAATTCCCCATTAAAAAGATACAGACTAACCAATTGGATCAGAAAACAGCATTCACCAATCTGTTACCTCTAAGAATGCACTTTTGTTAAGGATTGACACCATTTTAGATTAAAAGGATGGAAAAAGATATTCCAAGCAAATGGAACTAAGAAACAAGCAGGTGAAGCTATTCTAATATCTGACAAAATAAACTTAAAACTAGTCAGATGCAACAGTGAAGGTCCCTTCATACTCACTAAAGGGAAAATACACTAAGAAGGTATTACAATCATAAGCATTTATACCATACACACAGAGACACCCAATTTCATAAAATTAACTTTTTATTAACTCTAAAATATCACACTGACTCCAACACAGTGAGAGTCGGTGACCTCAATACCCCACTGCCATCAATAGATAAGTCAAGCAGAGAAAAACTAAATGGAGAAACCCTGTAGTTACATAACACTAGAAATCAAATGTACCTAACAGACATCTACATAATATTCCACCAAATACAAAATAATACTCTTTCTTCTCAGCAGTCCATGGAACTTTCTCCAAAACTGATCACATGTTAGGACACAAAGTAAATCTCCACAAATTTAGGAATATCATCCTGTATTCTATCCAACCACAAGGGAATAAAGCAAGATATCAACAATAATAAAAATGAGGAAAATTACACAAATTCATGTAAGCTACACAACACATATGAAAAATGGATTATGAGAGAAATCAAGAAAGAAATTTTAAAATTATTATGATTGAGTGAAAATGAAAACACAACATATGACAAAGAACACATCAAAAAGACTATCCACCTTGATCCAGTTGGATTCATCCCAGGGATGCAGGGATGGTTCAACATATGTGAATCAATAAATATAACCCACCACATAAACAGACTCAGGAATAAAAACCACACGAGCATCTCATTAAATGTAGAAAAAGCCTCTGACAAAATCGAACATCCATTCCTGCTACAAGTCATGGAGAATCTAGGGACACAGGGGACATATCTCCACATAATAAAGGCAATATACAAAAATCCCACATCTACTGTCACACTAAATGGAGAAAAAGGAAAAGCATTCCCATTAAAATCAGGAGCAAGACATAGATGTTCTCTCTCTCCCTTCCTGCTCAATATAAGAATTAAAGTCTTAGCTAGAACAATAAGACAAATGAAAGAGATAAAGGGGATACAAATTAGAATGGAAGAAGTCAAAGTATCCTTATTTGAAGATATGATTCAATACATAAAAGACTCTAAAGACTCCTCCAGAAAACTCTCAGAACAGATAAATACATTCAGCAAAATGGCACAATACAAAATTAACATCTCCAAATTGAAGCCTTCCTATTTATCAACATCAAATATACTAACAAAGATTTCATTGAAATGATCATGACAACAACAAAAACCATAAAATATCTTGGAATAAATCTAAACAAAGAAGTAGAGAACTTGCACAATTAAAAAATGAAATTTTGAAATTCACAGGTAAATGGGTGGAACTGGAAAGTCATCCTGAATGAGGCAACCCAGACCCAGAAAGACAAGTGTTACATGTTTTCTCTCATAACTGGATGCTAGCTTTGAAATTCTAAATATGCATGTTTCAATTTCAAAATCCAGAGAAATCAAGAAACTGATAAGTGGCAATGAGGGGAGGCTTTGGGGCAGTGGAGATAGAATAGAATGATATAAAGGGGGAAGGGCAAGAATAAAGTAGGAAGGGTTGAATGGCTTGGGGCATTGGAGGGCAGGGCAGAGAAGGGACTGTGTTGGGGGACTGTGTGGAGGGATAACCAACACTCAAAGCCTTTAGAAACACCATATGGGAACCTACCACTATAGAAATTTCTGAAAGTATATACATATAAATTACAAAAAGAAATTAAAAGGAATTACCTTGTAACAGGGAGACACTGCCCCTACTAGGAGTCATAGGCTAACAAAGTCAAAGCCCAATAACAGGAATGGATTCCCTCTTCTGAAGCTGTTAATCAGGGTCCCACAGATCCTCAGCTGATACTGGTCATTGCCCTGCTCTTGTTTACTGGCCAAAATTCGACAGTAAAACCCTATTACTGAAGACACTACATACATGAGCTGTAGAACAAACAAAGAGAAATCAAGCTGATGCTGATGTCAAAGACTCATCCCCACTGGTTAGATTTCATGGTGCTGGTAGATGCTATGTGTGCTACCAGAAGAGAAAAATTAATTATCAGCCTTACCCAACTGTGAATTCTGCAAGCTACAACAGCTGACCTGGCAAGATATGCGCACTGGTGGCATAGTGGCACAAATACTATGGGAGTAACCAACCACTTACTAATTGGATTTAAGGTCCACTTCATAGGATGGAGCTCATGCCTGACATTGATATTAGACCTAGGAACCCAAGGCTGGACTAGTCACAGGACCTAGAAGAAAGCCTAGTATTAGTTTTCTGAGAAATAGATATCATATTAAACTGATTTCTAATAACTTATTGTTATACTCATAGACTAATGCATGCCTCAATTTTAACCAGACAGGCTTCGTTATGCAGCAGATGGTGCACAGAAACCCACAACTTGCCAATGCACAGAGAACAAGAGACTGCTTATCCCTGAGTTGAACACCTATATCTAACTTCTGCCTCACAATGGTCAGGGATTATTGTGGAAGAGGGTGTGGAAAGACAGTAAGAGCCAGAAGTGGTGGATGATCACAAGGAAAGAGTTTTCCAGGCAGCTGGTTAACTACTCATATGAA